ACTGTCAAGGAGCCAATGGAAACAAATACATCATATCCTACTGTTGCGGAGAAAGAAACATCCAGCAGTAAATTATTTGACGCATCCAAGGAAAACTACAATGGCGCTGTTAGGGGCGAAATGGTAGGTGATGTCGAGAGAAAAACGTGGGGTCTATCTCGTCATAAAGATATTGGGCCGCATCATGAGAATCCAAAGACTAGTTCGGCTGGAAGTGTTCGGGAAGACAAAAAGACTAGATATGGTGATGATGACTCTTCAGGATATTCAAGGAAAGTTGGCAAATACAAAGGAAGTAAAGCTTCTGATTCAGTCAAAAAGGAATCGAGTGTGTCGAAACTGAAAAGTGTTCATAAGGCGGAGCCAGAACATTCTTTAAGAAAGCATAAGTATGATCAGATAGAACACGATCCACAGCCTTCATCGAAGTTAAAGGAACAGCAAAGCTCTATTATTTTTGATACTAAGGTGAATGGTCAAACTGAGAAGAAGGAAACGGTAACCTTGAAACCACAAAATGATAGCAAAAATGCTGAGGACACTTACAAAGACTTTTTTGGAGACATAGGGGATTCTGAAGAAGAAGACGAACAGAATTGTTCTTTGGAAGTAAAAGATTTGAGGATGTCAGATAAGGGACTTCCGCCCTTAGAAGATATGCCTGAAAAGTCAAGCTTCCCGCTGGCAGAATCTCAGAATGTTGGTCCTGGACCCTTATTGAGCAAACATGTTTCTGATACTTCTCTTCCGAAAGCGAATCCGGTGATCATACAAGAACATTGGGTTTGTTGTGACAAGTGTCAAAAGTGGCGGCTTCTTCCTTTTGGCGTCATCCCAAAAGACCTTCCTGAGAAATGGATGTGCTCAATGCTTAATTGGCTGTGAGTTTTTTTTCTTAATTTTCTGTTATTGATCCTATGATTTTGTCGGCGTGATATATGAGGTGGTTGGCAAAATGTGTTTATTTTTCTTTGTTTTTGGTCTTATTTTTTTCCGGCATGATGAATTAAGAAATTGATTCTCTTTGTGATAATGTGTGTTTCAGGCCTGGGGTGAACTATTGCAATGTTCCTGAAGATGAAACAACGAAAGCTCTGTATGCGATGTATCAAATCCCTGTTCCTGTTCCTGATAGCCAAGCTCCAATGCAGAGTAATCCCAGTGGTCCTAAGTCTCAGTTTAATGAGGGAGAAGACAGCACAAAAAAGAAGAAAAAGAATTTTAAAAAAATAGAGAATGGGATGGATAAAGATGTTTCTCGAACTGCAGAAACTAACAGGAAGACCATCCAAACATCAATAAGAAATGGAACCATTCACAATTCGCATGGACGTAATGACTTGGCT